GTTCGACTGCGGATTGAAATTGCAGCAGAACACGTAGTTGCTGTGCCCTTTGAGCGTCTTGAGGCTCTTGCCAGTGCTCAGTTCCCAGATCTTAAGGGTCTTATCGTCGCTGCCGCTGACTAGCAGACGCGAGTCCGAGCTCCACGCCACATCGCTAATGCCCAACTTGTGCCCGGAGATGGTCTTCTCAAACTTTCCATCGTAGGCTCCCCAGATTTTGATTAGTTTGTCAGCAGCTGCGTTAAAAAGTAATAATTGTAGTACAAAAAATCAATTTGCAAAACATACACACACACGCACGCCCGGTACTCACATGAGCTAGCCAGCCATTCGCCGTTGGGGCTGAACTTGACCGCAGAGACGGCCTTGGTGTGGCCGGCGAGAGTGAACTTCAGCGTATAGTTGGGCTTCACCGACATGGAGCTCTTGTTCGAGGTGGAGTTCGAGGAGCCAGACACATTGGCATTCGGCTGAAGTGAATTGGGTCCGGTGGGTGCTGTGGGCATCGGCTGTTGTGGGGGATGCACCACACCGGGATGGTTGGGATGAACGGGTCCAATGGGCACCATCTTGCTGTAACGTATGAATTCTGGATGTACATTGATGTTGCAGCTTGCAAATACCAACCCTCGCACGGCGGGCACGCGTATTCTTTTTTTCTTCAACTTTTGCGTTTTTTGCTGCCGCTGCACGTGCCTCTTCTTCTTGCTTCTAAACACTGCATCCCTGTTGTTCGCGGTTTGTGTGTTTTCAATGTTTTTATTTTTGGTTAGACTTTGCGGCTTACCTCTGACCGGTGTGAAAACGTAGCTGGCTTGACCTCTGTGTTTTTTGTGGCGCGGCGTTGGTTTGTTTGGGCAGAATTGGCTCGCTTTTCCTATGTATCGTGCCACACGTGAAAAAATTTGTGCTGAAAAACCATCGATGGAATATATCGTGACTATCGATGGTAGGTTTGGGTTGTTGGCCTCTAACGATGTGTGGTTTTCTACTATCGAAAGGAATGCGATTCGTACGGTTCGGAACAGTTTGACTGATTTAGGGGCCTACTAACGGTGTTTTCAACAACATAATTGAAAGGAAAGTCATGTATTCTATCTGTTGTATCGTTGAAGCTGAATCCAATGCATTTCCGCCAGACCTAGGACACCAGCACCGCCATCTACTGTTGGTATCAATGTCTCCGTATAAAATGTGCACTTTCAATCGATAGATGCAACAGCTGATAGTCTTTAAATTAATAGAATAAATACGGAAATAGGGAAATCTTTGGATGCCAGGAAGACTGACAAAGCAAAGATTGACGTCACACACAACTACGCAGGGCCAAGCTTTTCGGCTTGCATATGGAACGCGGGAACCTATTCAAAGCAGCGCATTGACCGGCGAATTTGTTAGTAGCGTTGCCATAGACGATGGTTTCGAACACGGCTATCCATATTCGATCTAATTTCTACCATCTGGTAGCCCTGACCATACAGTGTAGCCGTTGCCAGATCCACTTAAACAGACTGTGACTGTCAAAAGCTGCTTGAAATAACAGCTCTCAATTCATATTATTGCAGTTCGTTAATATGTTTTTATATTCCATCATAATTGGTTCATGCATTTGTAGATAGACAGCAACAATAGCAGCTGAATGGCATAACTGCCAAAGTAATTTTATTACAATCTTTACCAAAATTGAAGATAAGATACATTTATTTAATGACAATATATGTTATTTCGTGGTTGCTGCGGTTGCCTTCTGAAGGCTTTGGCTGCTGGCTATCTGTGATGTTAATCTTCTGAAGGAAACTCCACCGCCTTAGGAAAGACGAAGTGTTGGCCAAGTGGCTGTGTTGCTGTAGCTCTTTCTCTGGCTGTCGCTGAAGCCGTCGATGAGGATGTCGCTGTGGCCCCTCCCTGTTTAAACTTGGCTTGCTTTGGTAGCGGAACAGCGCCTACATTTTTTCCATTGGCCTCCAGATTCGGCATTAGAATGACCAACGTTTGCTACGTGTTAATGGGCTTCGCGTTGCATGTCGAGATCTTGGAGAATTTGCGCATGACTTTTCATGCGAAAACAATGCAAGATCGTGACACACAAGGCGAAGCCCATCAAAACGGAGCAAACGGTGGTCATCCTGTAGCCAAATCTGGAGGATAACGCAAAAAAAATATTGGCGTGTTAGCGCTCCAAAGCTCCAAGTGTATGCAGTTATCGAAGGTCCTTGTGCCTGCGAGTCCTTGTTATCCTTGCCATCGTTGCCCGTTGATACTTCGTTCTCGGCCACGCGCACACGCCCTTCATTTCAATTGTGAAAAAGCTAAGCCAGCCTCTGGATGGTGAAGGTGCCCTTGCGGTGAAATTCGATCCGTGTTGCGTAATCGCAAACCTATGAAGGGAGGGGATCGTAGAAAATCAAAAAGGGCGAGCCAACGATTCGTCTTACCCATGCGAAAAGAGTTTTATTTTGTATTTTCTGCAGAACTGCTAGGAATATTCGAGGCGCTTAAATTAGATCCCTAATTTAAGCGCCTCGAAAGTCACAAACATTTTACAAACACTTGAAAAAAACTGCTTGGCTTGCACTCAACTTTCCGCACTCGAATCAAATTATGAAATGAAAATGGGCATGGCTCTGGCTCTGGCTCTGCCTCTGCCAATCCTTTGCTAGAGATGGAACTTCACAAACTTCACGATGGCACGAGTGGCAAATATCCAACAAGAATAAACAGTTAATGCGACAAATTGTGCACGCACAGAAAATATACACACCGAAAAATGCAAGATTTGCTCTAGTTATCGTTTTATCCAACATACTGCAGCTGCAATCTAAAGTGCAAGACGGACTAGACCCCCCACAGTCGCCGCAACTGCCTAAACGATGTGCAGCGACATCAAGTGTAGTCAGCTGTGGGAGTACATTACTTAACCCCTGTGCTGTGATTTGAGCAGGATAAAAGATCAGAATCTATGCAGACTAACAGTCAGCCAAATACATACGTATGTAAAAACATAAATGTAGATTACATTTAAGCACTAAATGAGAATCGTTTGCGCTGGTTCGTTCTTTGCATGAAAACACATTGATTGAACTCATTTGTTGGCCAACAACTAACCATAGTTATTTGATTTACCTTTATTTCATTTCGTTTCTTTACATTTCGTGTTCCCCTTCCCCCACCGATACATTTTGAATGCGGCGTTGCCTTAAAACTGTGTAATTATATTTTTGGTTTTCTTGGTTTTTTTGGTTTTTGGTTTTTGGTTTGTCGGTTGTAGGATCTTCTGTTGTTTCTTTTTAAAAGTTAAAAACTGAAAGAATTAACAATCTTTAAAATGAGCTCCATTTGCTTGACTTAAACGCTCGTAAATATTATTAAACATTCATTTGGGGTGTTTTTTGTCTTGTGTTTGTATTGCTGCTGTGCGTGCACGGGGCGACGATGGCCACACCACATAAGTATAATCGTTAATAAGTTAAGTTTAAGTTACATTAATTGCGTTCATCTTGTTTTATTTTATAATTCAAAATCGAAAGGTACAATTTGTTATTATTAGTTAATATTATTATTTTGTAGGCAATTGATTCGAAGGCAATTCACATTGCACAATCCTAATTCATGTTTTTCTTTCTTGTTTTAGTTTTTAGTTGATGGTTGTAAATTGTAAATATCTATGACGCTCTACGAAAATGATGTCAAATTAAATTCGTTTCTTTTTTATGTGTTGCATCAGCAGCAGCTCCCACACACAACAAGAACAAACATCGATCGATTGGAATTATTCAAATAGAAATACACATTTAGGTTATTTGTTCTTCTGGATGATTAAAAGTTGCTGCTTAAACAATTTAACAATGCCTAACAATAAACTTAATAGTAGATAAAATTCACCAATTGTGATATATTGCACAGCTGCCTCCAACAACAACAACAACAACAACAACGACAACGACAACGATAAAATAATCTTTTGAAGAAAGGCGAAATGAGATTTCCTCCTCGAGAGGGAAAGAGACAGAGAGAGACAGAGAGAGAGAGAGAGAGAGGTCTATGTAAAAGTGTGTGTTGGTTTGTCGTGTTTTGAATATATGTATATCAAATAGGATCCAAGTCATAACAATTTTAATATTTTGTTTCCTTATAGCGATAGAGAGAGAGAGAGAGAGAGTGAGTGCGAGAGAGAGATAGATTGAGAATAGAGTGCGTGTGTGTATGCGAGTGAGGGAGAGAAATGCAATTTGTTCTTGCATTCTTTGTTTTTGTTCTATTTCTATTTGCGATTTCCAATCCATATTTGAGCTTTAACAATTTTCAATGATTCTCGTGTTTGTTTCGGTTCTCCTCAGTTTCTCTTCTCCTCATAGATTATATAAACAAATTTAACATTGTCTGCACCTGTTATGCTTTTACATTTCAATGGTTTACATTCTGTCTATCTGTTAGCTTCAATTACTTGTCATATATGCCATGCAGCTGGTGTGCTTGAGTGTTGTGTGTTTATAATCGTTAATATAATTATCGTAATTGTTATTATTCTTGTAGATTGCATTTAACATTGCGTTTCGTCACTTGTTATGAGTTGAATGTATATATTTTCATTATTTATTGTATGTATAATTATGCTATAAATATCATTTTCATTGAGTGTTTCCTTCAAGTAGTTTCAAAGTTGTTCAAAATCAGTTTGCAATTATAACTAGAGAATTTAAATAGGGTTTGGTTTGTTGTTTGACTCTGGTTCTCTGGCTAAAAACATCATCTCTAAATTAGTATAATCATCTCACAGTCTCCCATCAGAATGTGGAAATAATTTGTGGCTACTCTCTCCGCATGTCCACACACACGCTACCTACATATGTGTGTGTACCTATTATACGTAAGTATTTCTGTATTGCTGCATCTACATCTCCACATGCCACTAGTACATTTGTTACATTCTGTCCCCCTGCTTACAGACTATATTCATCATAAGATACATATAGTTATGTGTTTGTTTGTTAGCTTTTTGCTTGCGTACTCAATCCGGAATTGTTCAAAATGCATCGTGAAGTTAAGGCTATTCAGGACCAAGATCAAATGCATAACTATTCAAGTTCATTGAATAAATATTAATTCGAATTTTAGATAATTGTTTAAGGTTTTTTTTTTTGTTTGGTTGGCTCGCTGTCTTGTTTCGACTCGCCTCACTAGCAACGCTTTAATTTGGTTTCAGTTTTTGTTGTTGTTTCAGTTTGGCTTTAGGCCTTGAATAGCTGTGGAAATTCGTTGGCTATCTCCCGCACCAGCTGCTGATCGGAGGCACTGCATTCGGTCTCCTCGCAAAAGATGCGTGTGAAGATCTTCATAAGATCGTGCTTGCGATGCTCGTGCTCCTGATAGTTTGTGTTGCGCAGAATGCGTCGGCACAGCTCCAAGTAGCACGGACGAGTCTAAGGCAGAACATTCATGAAAACAGTCAGTCGTGGCCAATGGGCACTACTTACCGCACTGCCTGCATCCAGATCGGACAACTGCCGCACCACAATATCGATGAGCACCTTAATATCGTTCGAGTAGAACATGCCAGCCGTATCCGGGTGGCTGAAGATGTCAATGAACATGCGCAGCACCGTGTTCATATGCTCATTGGGATGCTTGAGCAGACGTGTGGGATCATCTGAGGATAGAGGATGAGTACAGGAAACAGGAGTACGAAGGAGTCCAAACTTACCCTCCCGATTAAGCAACAGCAGCAGCTTCTCGGTAAAGACTTTGGCCGTGGGCAGACTCTGCATCGCCTCGATGATCACGTTGTAGGTGTTCTCGCTGAATTGCTGATTAAAGGACAGTATCAGGGCAATGACCATGTCCACCAGCTGCTCTGGGTTATTGCCCTCGACGATCTCCAGCAGAAAGCTGGCAAAATGCACGCCCAAATAGTCTGCAAAGTACAATGAAGGAAATTGAAATAAGAATAAACTCATCAGGCAAACATTGCAGACGCACCCTGGTGATTCACGGGCATTGGTTGTCCCAGCGAGAAGACAATTGTGAGCATCTTGACCAGCTGCTTAAAGCGTTCCAGGTTGGAAAAGTGAGTCTTCATGTCTTCCACCTAGAAGGAAGAAGTTTAAGAGAGTTAAAGTTTTGCTTCGCTATCCCCCTCGTCCAGACGTCGCCCAATTACAATCTCAAGCGGCAGCACCGATGTCAGCAATATGTCCACAATAATGTGATCCAGATGACAGGCAGCGGTGAATGTCCGTAGCAGAAGGCGCTTAATGGACCAGCGTGTCTCCATTTGATAGTACTGCACCAGATTGATGAACATTTGGTACTGATCGCAGGACATTTCATAGCAGCTAATGTTCTCGTCCGCATTGTTCTGCAAGAAGCAGTTTGAATTGCAATTAAAATCAGTTTGATAAACACAATTCTCGCAGCTGTGGGGCGTACCAGTATCTCGACCAATTCCTCGAGGAACTGAATGATATCCTCCTCGTCCTCGTACAGCATCCAGGTGCGCTGTTCCGTGTCGTTTTTGCAGTCCGCCAGCTGGCCAAACAGATACTGCAGTCGCTTTGAGTCGTGCGTGATGCCCAGCAGCTCTTTAGGCGTGGCCACCTTGCCGGTGACATGGACGGCGACGGCCTCCAGGTACGGATTGATGGAACCGTTGTACAGCTGCTCCAGGCTGGTCAACACCACACGCAGCGCCTCGCACGACAGGTCAAAGCTAAGGTTCGTATTCCGTCGCAGTGCATCCACAATCTGATACACATCCGATGACTCCACCTTCAGCTGGCCACGAATGTAGCTCGCTCTATCGCCGACACGCAAAGCAGCCGCCTCCGCGCCACCATCAATGTTTGTGTGCCGATGGCGCGAGGGCGAGGCCGAGGGACTGTCGATGCTGTCCAGGGCCTGGCTATTATCCGCACTATCGGCGATTGCATTGCCCACATCATCGCTGGGCACGGCACTGGCATCGTCCGACTTCTCCTGCGTACTATCCGGCTCGTCACCAGCCGCAAACGCGTCCGCATCTGCATCTCCATCCCCATCCGCATGGTGATTTCTTGCACTGCCCATGCTGCCGTTGCCGGCGCTGCTGCTCCGCTTCATGCCAGAAGCAGAGGTGGAGGCGGATGCGGAGGCCGTGCTGCCACTGCCGTTGGGTGGCTTGTGATGCTGGCTTGTGCTCAGTTGACTTGTCTCCTTGTACGTGGTCACCACGTCCTCGCTGGTGGTGGTCGTCGTCGTTGTCGTCTCTGAGGGCTCTGAGGTGATGCTATTGTCCTGTGCCACATCCGCCAAGGCAGCTACAGCTGCCACAGTTGGCACGGCTGCTGCCACAGTCGTTGCCTTTGTCGATGTGGCTGTGGCTGTGGCTGTGGCTGCAGCTGTGGTTGCGGCTGTGCTGGCTACTAGCGGTGGTGCTGGCAGCGGTTGTTGCTGTTGCGGTGTCTGAATGGTGCAGCTGCTGCTCGGCATCTGCATGCTGCCCATGCTGGGCGACTCAGCCATTAGCTGGCCCTGGGGCTGGCTGCAGCCGACCGCCGGACTCGACATGCTCTTCCGGCTCATGTCCAGCCGCTGTGCTGCGGGCGGCGGACTGTGATGCCTGTGCTGGGCGTGGGAGTGCGAGTGCGAGTGTGCCTGCGACTGGGACTGTGTCTGGGGCTGCTGGTGGGGATGCGAATGTCGATGGCTGCTGGCCTTATCGCTGTAGCTCTGGGAGTACGAAAGCGAGGAGTCGCCGTCCCGCTCTGAGCTCTCCTGCAAGTGGAGGACCAAGTGTAAGTTTCTTTTCATTTAGGGATGGAATGAATCGCTCAAACCACTTACCGCATAGAGACGCTCCATCGTGTTCTTCTTCTCGCGCAGCCGGTCCAGCAGTTCCTCCTTGGACATGATGCCATTGATCTCCTGGTCTGTGCACTTCTCCAGCGACTCAATCGACGAATTCAGAAAGCTGATGAGGAAGTCATGCTCCACCTGCGGGAGGAGGACGAAAGAGTAGAAACAAGAGTGAGGGAATGAGTATCGCATTTGCTTTCAGCAGCTTACCCCAGCGGCTGCACCACTCGAGACGCACTTAAACTACATCTTTGAGTACTCTGCCACCACAGAGAACACCCCCCCCCCAATCCGTGCACACTCCGTGTCACTCACTCACCTTAATCTTCATTACGTAATTTGATGGGACAAAGCCAATGTTGCCCTTCATGCTGACCACCTGCCACCAATTGCGCTGGCGGGCTGAGGTCTGGTATAGAATGAAGTACTCGCCCTCATCGAAGCTAATGGTCTTGGGATAGACCGCCTGAAAGTCATACAGGGCCTTGAGCATCTCGATGCCGTTGCCTACACCAAGCGAGAGACCTTCCGAGGTTCCTGCTGCTGCTGCTGCTGCTCCTGCTCCTGATGGTGCTCCTGCGGCAGGAGAAGTGGGAGCTGCGGCAGCTGCAAATTGCAAATGAAAATGGAAATCAGCGAATCAATTTCTAGTCTTATTACGGGGAAAATCAGAATTATATGAAACTTGGATGAGGGCGTCGGCACACCTATACGCATTCACACACACACAGCACACACAAAACACACAGGAAAGAGGACACACCGAAGAGGCAGGCGGAGCAGAGAAGGAGAGGAAACAACTGCCTGCAGGCCGTAAGAGGAAAGTCCACTGCCGAGGGCCAACTGGCAACTGCCGACTGGTGACGCGGGCATGGATGGGAGGCCTTTGGAACTCTGTTGTCTGTGCAATGCAGCAGCAGCAGCAGCAGCACACATACCCATGCACTCTCCCTCTCTCTCTGTCTCTGTCTCTCGCCCGCTCAGTCACACAAATTCAGCACGTAGCAGTAGTCGCGATGGTTGCAACGGCAAACATACAAGGAAGAGCCCCAGGTGGGGGTCGGAACAGGGTTTTCTTTATTACAGCGGAAAAAGGAAAATGCAATTTTCATATTTTACTTGCTTCTCGCGCTATTGTCTGTCGGTCTGTCGGGGCCTGTCTCTCGGGCAGGTTCCTGACTGTTTCTTCCTGTTCTTTTTTTTGTATTTGTGTCCGTGCAGCAACACGCCTTGCGCTTTTGATCCTATTCAGCTTTTATTGTTTTCCTCGCACTCACACAAACATGGCACACACACAAGCATGAAGGCGCACGTGCCTGTGGAAAAGCTTATGCGCGCTTCGGCACCACTTCGGCTTCGTGCTGCATGAAAATTTGTGTTAAAATCTCAACACACGAGGCAAATCCGTTTCAAAACAGAACGCCCACTCCACTGCCTCGCCCACTCTCACCACGCGCGCGCTTTCTCCTCTCTCTCTCTCTCTCTCTTTTGCCCAGAGAACGCTTCACACCCCAACACTGAGAGCCAGAGAACTAGAACTGGACAGAGCACGGAACTGGTACACAATAATTAAGCCCGTTGTAAGCTTACAACGTTAATTGTTTGATGTGTTAGGAGGATATATCCTTGTTGTTCCTAGTTGTACTGTCAGCCTCTTTTCTGGTTTGCCAGGCCAAGAATAAATATAAGAACCATGCCAGTTCATGGAAGCGATCTTTCGCAAGATGCACTTGAAAGTGCAGTCTCATCATTTCAAGCTGAATCATTTTCTTAATTTATGAATTTGATTTCCATTGAAAGGTTTAGAGCTGGCTCGTGATTCTACAGAGTCGTGGGTGCTATTGGAACTAATTCCGGAACAAGTAGTTATACCGTTGCTGTTGGGCACCTGCAGGACGCCCACGCGCCACACACACACACACAAGCTCACGTACAAATTAGCAGGAAGCCATCGCATAAAAATGTACATACAAAATATACATACACACACATGTATACAAAGTATTCATGCAAATGTGACAATGGAGAAGCACTTGGAAAAACAACAAAACGAAGAAGAGGAAGGATAATGGGGCATGGAACCGCTTCCGATTCTCATACTTTATATTCACTTACCCATATTTTGAGCGCAACGTTTGCTGAAACTTACTGTTGGCTCGTTATTGGCCCTCCGCCTGTTGTCCCTGGTCCTGCTACGACTCCTGCTGCTGTTCCTGCTCTGCTGACGTCGTCGGCCCAAGGACGTTTGCATATATTTAAATATTTTCGCGAAGCGTTTTCTGCTTCCGCTCCTCTTGGTGGTTTTAGACTGTTGTTTATGGGCGTTTTTTTACGCTCTGCCACTGCCCTTTACCACTAGTTGGTCCGGCAAACTTTTAGAAATAACCGTAAATTGATTGGCACGCCCAATCACTGGTTCTCGCACTGGATGTTGATGCTGCTGATTCCGATGCTGCTGCTGTGCTGCATGAATAGGCAAATGCGACTCTGTTAACGTAGTTGATTAATTACGATGCTATACTGTTGCTGCCTCGTCGTCGGATGCACTTGTTTCTCGATGTGCGCCCACGGCTCGGCTCAGGCGGGGGTGGGAGTTTGTCTGTCTGTGGGGTAGGGGGGCTGTAGGGTGGCTCGGCACCTTCATGAATCGGCTATGATGCGATGCTCGTGCTGGGCAAGGTATGTCAAATGGCAGGTGGCATCCGCAACACCTACAGAACTTTGCTGATGTCGCCAGATTGGAAATCAAACTCTAGGACCCGGCAAACGGGAAAGCCTTGCATTATACTCAACTTAATGTCACCTTGGCTGACAGTACACACCACACCCCAACCAGAACGAACATTTGTATGTAAAACATGCACAAAACGCGCGACATCAACATCACCAAGGGAAATCGCGTTGCGGGAGGACAGGGTCGTGTCGTCCGTCGTTTTCGGGCCCATCCCTAGCGGTCACGTATGTCAACAAATTATTATCCCATTCAAAGGTACACTTCATACAAAAAAAGCCGCCAATCCGACACACACACACACACACATGCACTCACGGTAACGGTGGGTTTAAGCTTTGTTATTATTTGTCAGAGAGCAATGTTACAGACGGCGTCCCGTCTATTGCCAACACAAGTAGAGCAGTCCCACACCGCCAATCAATATCGCTTACGTTTCATCAGATTGTTTCACTGAATTGCTTGAATTAACTTAAACAGATAATTTTGTTACAGTCACTAGAAAAAACAACATTAATTTACACTTTTATAATTTTTTTTATTTTGGTATATAATCGCTACAGCGAGTTGGATGAGTTCGATGATGGGGCTGTCGATATTTCCTTGACTATCGATGGCTGTTGATGATGTTGGTATATAATTTAAACAATAAGCATTGAATTTAACAGAGTTTAAAGTGTGGTCGTGTGTAAGAGTTTAACAAAATATATAGTAGTGAAATGGATTGATGTGTAGGTGTAGGTGTGAGTGTAAGGCAACAGAAGGTTGCCTCAGAAAGTAGGAACAACAGAAGGTTGCTTCTCAAGGGGACTTCCGATGGCACCGAGTTAACCCGACCTTAGGTTCGATTAATTAACAGTATATTTATGACCGTTTTTGGCACTCCAGTCGAGAGCCCAGTGCCATGGTTTGACAGGAATTTCATTATACATTTTTGATATTTCCTTGTACTCATTGTCCCAATCCGTCTGAACTTTTATTTTAACTTATCTAATTACTTCATCAAATGTTAGGGGTAAATTATATAGTTTCCCTACATTAGTGGCTGATTTGTCAAGTATATCAGTATTTTCATTAAAGGCAATGTTCTTGTGACCGGGTATCCAGTGCACAATAAAATTGCTCGTGAAGGGAATCCATGTTGAGGTGGATTTCGTCTGATAAGTATGAATTTGATTCAATGCTCTTCAGAACATTTAAGGCGCCTTGACTATCACAAAGAATTACAGTTTTACTGTATCTTTTTATATTAGATATTCTTACAGCCGTCAATACTGCGTTAAAAATACAGATGAGGAACTATTTTCATTTTTAATCATAGCTATTGTTTCTAGGGTAAACTAGGATACCTACACTATTTCCACCATCGATGTTTTTCCAGCCCGAGTTGCCTGCGGAACTATCGATAAAGTATATCTAAATAAACCTTCTCATTTTAAAAATATACCGTAGTATTAAATCATATTCCTCGATTTTGATATTCTATTTGATATTACCATATGGTTAGGACTCTCAGCTTTAAAACTGTAATTTGACTTGAATTATCATTCAATTGTACACAAGATTGGCTGATTCGATCTCTATATTTGAAAAGGTCTACACCTAAAGTTAAACAACAGAAAGTAATCATTACTAAATTATCTCCCTGAATCTATTTATTTTCCAGGGCCGCCAACGAAATCAGTGTATATTTGCATATCAATGCTTGAAACAAATAGAGCGCCAAATTTCAAAGACTCGTTGCAAAATATTTTTTAATTTAATTAGGCATTTAGGTAAGTTTTAAGTATATAGTTGATATGGTTCTCTCTTTTCATTTAATTAGATTCTGGTTTGATCTGATCTGGCTCTTATACATTGGCTAGCAAATGTGAATAAAACCTATTACTTGTGCAGTTGTTTCACACATTCCTTTGTAGAGTTAATATCCAAAATATGCCCCATCCTATATACAATATTATATATACAATGTTTAGATAATATTGCAAGTGTTGTGCTCATCTTTCCGTCTCGGTTTGTTTATTTCTTCGGTACAGTTAAGATTTAACAATGTTTCCTTTTTATTTGCTTGCTTTGTGGTCACAATAATTGCAATAATCATTAATCAAATGGTTTTAATAATAGCGAAACAATCACATCAAAATTAGAATAGTTTAAGTTTCTCACACATTTTCACCGTTTCGTTTCGGTTCTCAATGTTTAGTATGTTTGTTTGTTGGTTTTCCAGTGAATAGTTTAATAACAGCAGGCCACGTGCATAGTGTTTATATCTTTATATATATCGTATATTGTGTATGTGTATATTAAAAAAAAAAAAAACAACATTACATTGTACTTGCATTTAGATATCAATAGGAATAATAAATATATATGTATTTATAAACGAAACAAAACAGACACAAAAAATATTTAAGAGATGCTTTAACCTGGGCCTTTGCTTTTACCTATTTGTTATTACTATTATCATTATCATTATTATTGCATTAAGTTAGAGTTTATTGTTGTAGCTTTATTGCATATGTGTGTGTCGGGTTGGAGGATTTATTGTGGAACGGCACTTCGGTTGAGATTTGATTTATGTTTAAGTTTTTTTCTCCGCTTAGTTTTGATCTTGTTTCACTTTTTTCTTTTCACTATTAATATTGCACTCGTTTAATGGGAATAGAGTGGGAAGTTAGGGAGGAATGCTGGGGGATGGCCACAAAAAAGAAACATGATAAAAGGGAGAACATTGTTGCTATTGTTTGTATGGGCTACTAGTCCGTCACGAGACTTTCTCATTGGCATTCACCTTGCTGCTGCTTTTGCTTTTGCATTCTGTCACATCCAATCCCCTGCCCTGCCCTGCCCTGTCCTACCCTACCTTGGCGATGGCCACGCTTGGCCGCAAAAGATTTGTCCACAATTAGCATTTGGTGCACACTAATTGTTAATTGATAAATTATGCTACAGAAATAATATTGATAAGTGTTGTGTGTGTGTTTAAATGGGACACCAAAACAATCCGATCCAGAGAACCAACACGACAGAGACAGACCCTCAAGACGCCATCGAATCACATGCGCCTGGCCGGCCTACGCTGCGTCGTTGAAGCGTTCTCGGCGCGCCGCCGTTGCTTTTGCTTCTGATGCTGCTGCTTATGCTTATGCTGATGCTTCTGATGCTGCTCCCTCGATCATTTGTCATTGTCCTCGCAGCAGCCATTCTTGGCCAGCTGCTTCTGCAGCGCAGGCGGAATGAAATCTTTCGTCTTGGTCTTGGAATGATAACCCTGGCCGAGCAATGCCGGCTCCACATGCTTGCCCTCCTGAATGCCCTGGATGAGCTTCAGCATGTCATAGTTGATGCCCTCAGTCACCACTGAATCTTGCCTGCAGGTTGGATTTGATCGTTTAGTTTTCAGTCTCTACAATGGTTTACGGATTTTACTCACTTGTAGTCCGGATGATTGAGCACCTGCTGGCGCATCCATGTGGCCGTTGTGATCAGCTCGCCTGCGGCACGCTTCTCGATGAAGCGCAGATACTGTTCGATGGTGCAATGTGTGTCTGTGTCCACCTCCATGGACTGCAAATAGCTGCGGATCAACGGCACCAAACCAGGGAACACATCGGACTGTGAAGATACAATTTAGGCTTTAGATTTCTGATTTCTGACTCCCTTCGCTTGGGCTAGCATACCTTTCCGTTGAATATCTCATTGATTGTCAGCAGCTGGAACAGCTCGTTCTCCTCATCATCCGTGTCGGTGTGATCGCTGTCCACGCCATTTGTGGAGGTGGTGGAGCTGCCATTTGTTGTGCCATTTGTGGTGCCATTGGTTGTGACCTTGGAGCCATGTCCATGTCCATTTCCATGTCCATTGAGTGACGCAGAAGTTCCATTGTTAAAATGCTCCTCCTCTCTGTCATCTTCGTTGCCGTTTCCATTGCCATTCGTGGACGTGCCGTTGCCATTCTCCGACGCTTCGTCTGTCTGCCAGCCATTGAGGTGGCCAGCCCTGCCCTTGGCCTGGGCCTGGGCCTGGGCCGCCCTCTGTTCGGTGGTCTTTGATGATTTGCGGAACCAGAATTTCTCCGCACGGCAGGCGTCGCGCTTCTGTGCCGTTTGCATATTCTCATCCACCTTGCTGATGGGCGTCAAGAAGTTCAGCTGATACGAGAGAATGACACGGGTGAGCAGCACAACAAAACACACGATGGCCGCGTTCTCGAAGTCACTGATCTGTGCCTCGCACGGCCGGAACTCCACGCGCCAGCCAATCGAACTGTTCGGAGGCGGTGGCTTGAAGCGCATCGTCTGCCAGTTGGTGGACTGAATGTTCTCAAAGTGATCGGTGTCCTCGTTGTCGTTCTGGTGAACCTTCTCGCTGAACAGCGACACCGTGTCGCGTATGAAGAGATGGGCCACATGCTGGGCCAGCAGATGATCGATTCCGCCCTCGACCAGACGATTGTAGACCTGCTTGTCATAGGTTATGGGCACATCGTTGTACTTGGCACCCTCCGGGGAGAGGTACGAGTCGATGGAGTCGTAGCGCGACTTGGCAATGCGGAACTTTTGATGCTCGAGCGGCACGAGGCCGCGCTCCTCCTCGGTGCGGCAATCCACCGACGAGCTGATCACGTTCCAGCGACAGTCTGACTCTGTGAGGTAGCCCCGATAGATCGGACTGGCCGCTGTCAATGCCAGCATGATGGGGCACAGGGGCGCCAGCTGATCGTACAGGCGACGCGCCTCTGTAATGTTGCAGGCCTGAAAGGTGAGCTGCAGACAGCAGCAGCCCATGCCGAAGCCCATGGCGTCCAGCAGCACCACATCCGGCTCGCCCGGTGGTGCCCCCTCCACGGGCAGCTTTGTCTTGGCGTCCTTGAACACTGCAGAGGATGGAGGATGAAGGTCAGTAAATGTGTTTCCCTTTAGCCAGAGGCAGACGCTTACCCTTCAGCTTGATGGAGACCTTCTCGCCGCGCCGCATGCGAATGTTGCGGGTGAGCGTCTTGAAGCGTGGATGTCCCGGGAATATGGCCTCGTCCGGAAAGTAGAGCGACCGCGCCGAACTGAGGGGATCCTCTGGCCGGGGCTGGGCCAAGGGGTATGTAAAGTTGGGGGATCCAAGGCGCGGAAAGTTTGTGATCGACATAACGCACTCGTCCTTGGCCAGCAGCTCGGTGACCTCCTCGCGACGGTATCGCATATTGGCCTCCACCAGATTGAAGTGGGCCATCAGACCGCCAAAGGGCTTGCCGGGTGTACCCTCGATCATGTAGGCACCGTACTCGGGGCGCCACAGCGACTTCACGCCCTTGGGATCGGCGATCTCCTTTTCGTTCAGCTGCGCCAGCAGATCCTGGGCGATCAACGCCACGCGGGCCACTTTCTTCTCCTCATCGAACTTCACAATAATGTACTCTACCTCGTCGCCCCACTTGAGGATGTCGCCCTGGCGATCCTTTAGTCTATGGTAGAGATTTATGAACTGATTCACGCCATGCTCGCGCACATGATCGGCCAGCGCCTTGGTCTCCTCCCAGGAGAGTGGACTGCCCTCGCTTAGTAGACCCATAATATAAGCTGCAACGAAAGACAAAACATTAGTAGGAATTGTGGCACTCAAAGATCGGTCCAATGAACCTTTTATCCATGTGCTTTCTGCGTTTTAATCTAACTGGAGGTCTGTGTGTGTCTGTCCCTAAAAGTTTCCAAACGATTTCAAACCGTTCAGAAACAATAATGAATTTTGACTGAACAACTACTGATTTGAACAACACAGGACTGAAGGTAGATAAGAGTACGGAAGGGTAAGGAATGGTAGAATGAAGAACTCAGAACAGAGACAGAGGGAGAGCGATCAATCATTTGAGCAACGAGTCAACAAAACTGCATAAAAACTACCACAAAGTAACGAGTAAACTGTTAAGTGCAAGCTGTTAAAATGTGCCATAAGCGAAAGGATACAGTGACCTTGACTAGCGAAGTTTTTAAAGAAGTTCCTTCTGAGATGAATTTTCTGTGCCAGTAGCAAGCATCGCACAATTAACACCCTGTTATAGCTTTAGGCTGAGTATTTCCTCCATTTAATGAAAACACTCAAACAGCTGTCAAGTAAATGATCTGCGTAATATCCGTAAAAATACGTGCAATGTAAATATAGAGTAAATATTTTGTATGTATTGCACTCGAAAATGGTCTTCTTGGTCTTGACATTCGAACAATTTACAACATTTCACTCAATTAATTGATAAGCGAGATTCACAGCGAGAGAGAGAGAGAGAGAGAGAGAGAGAGAGAAGCCAAATAGTAATCAAATAATTGATAAGCCAACAACCTTTTTTTTTTACTCCTGTGATTCAAATATACTCTTAGGTGTTCAAATAAACGAATACACGAATGTACACACATTTATATGCACAATTGTGTGTCTGTATACCTTTAAAATATATTCTTATTGTATATATTTAGCACCCGACGACGACAGGTTGCTGTGCGCCACTCGAAAGAGATTGATTCATACTACCCTACTCCTCGGCATTGTTGTTGGCTGATCGGAAATCTCGATCATTTTGTTGTTGTCGCTGAAAGTTTGGCCGATTGTGGCGCAGATTTACGATCAGGCACTTGGGGGCACCACGCTCAAATCGTGTCCCGTCAAATTCACAAACACTTCACTTCATTTTTCACTTCAACATCCAAAAACGAAAATAAAACAAAGCCCAAACCAATTGAGCATTACAGCTGTAAGTGGAGACAATCATGTGGCATGTCGAGGGTTTGCTAACATCAAAGTTAAATCTTGAAACGCTTGTCTTTTGGATCGAAAGATCGAAGGATAACTCTCGAGGATTTATTCATGCAGAGCTGCATTTTGCCTTCAAAAATACTGCGAGCAGGAGGAACCCTAAAGGCGCTTTCAATCTCTGAACCGCCTTGAAATAATTCTCTACACAATCCTTTAGCTTCGTTAAAGGATACTCTTGAGACTCACAAATCGTGTTTAAATCACTTAAACAAAAAACAAACATTTAGCCACAAAAGAAAGCTTTTGTTTTAATAATATTATGAAATGATTTATGGATTATACCTTTCTGTTTTTGTTTCTAATTCTTTCTCTTTTCACTTTCGTTTTAATTCCAAAATGGGGAATTATTATTGCTAGTTGATAACCAGTTGTAACCAGATTCTAGCTCCACGGCCGAAAGCGGACTAAATTTATACTCGGCCATACTCCAGCTTATTATGTGGCACGAACCATCGATCCACGAGGCACCCGAACCCGATTGATGAAAATCATTTATGGAGCGGAGTGGAAACCAGTGGAAACGGACGGAGATCGTGGCGATATCTATGGGGAAGGGGCCCATAAATGATCGCACGACTGTCGCGACACGAAGCGTCGTCAACTTGAGAGTCGTCAGCTGCATGGGGATTGGGCATTTGATACTGGGAACTGGGAACCCACGGGCCAGGCCACCACTTGAAATCGATCGAGTGCTGCTCGAATTATTTGCCTTGTGTTATTTATTATTTTTAATAATATTTGAGCCTGGACTCTGCTGGAAGGGTTTATTATATACATATTTTGTTATTCATATTTATAGATTTGTGTAGATTTACAACCAACTAGCCCCATAAAGATTGTTTTGCTGGGATGGATTGGGGACTGGGGATCGGAACGGAACGGAACGGATCGGATCGGATGGAATCACAAGTACAAAACAATACCAAAAAATCGTGGCATTTGCATTGTAAATAACTGCCAATCAATCGGCTGGGCTGCCATGGCAATTTTATAATATTATTAAATGCGTGGTGGAGAGGAAACGCATAGATTTCGAATTGAATTGCCAACAATATATCATCGCTAGCTATTGTTTCTGTGCGATTCCGTTTCTAAATCCGTACATGATTCAACGTCGCAACGTCGCAACGTCGCCGACTATCATCCGATACACAGATGTACATTTCGAAACAGTTTCCAACGAGTAACAGTCGGTGGCACATCTACTAGCCATCCAAGTCGTATAAACGCACAACCTGCGACCGTTTTCTATTCCAATATTCACTCCAGTCAGAGGTTTATTTGCACATTTGTTGCTCTGATTCTTGTCAACGCTGCAAGAGCCTTTCACTCTTTCAATTAAAGGATAACCAAATGACATTCCACATCTGTGTATCCAATGCGAACCTCATCTGATAAGATCCTAGGACATGTGTGCAACACTTCCATTTCGCTTCAGGAATTCATGGTCAAGCAGTCGTTACTCGTTTGATCTTTGATTTTAATAATTTTACCACTCTTCTCTCTTATGAAAGAGAGCCACATTCCACTCCTACATGTGAGTCCATTTTTCCTGGAGGAGGAAACACACTTGGGCATTGTGTGGGGGTGACGAATGCAGAAGCAAATGCGCTTAGATAAGCTTCAATTGCACAAAAAGCAGCATACAATGATATGCATACGTTCAATACATATGAATACTAGCACCAAGTGTACCGAGTATATGTACAATATAAAAAGTGTACGACGTTAGATAAGATGGCCCAAGTGCCCCTCATTTGGTAATTGCACTGCCGCGCCACGCCGCGGCTCGCCACGGGGCTTGTGAGATTGGAGAGACTTTGCAATGCTTACGGCATCTACTACGTTTTGTCTATCTTTCCTTCTGGATTAAGCAAATTGCTGGATGCTAAGCCCCATCATTACCATTACCAGTGCCCCGTACATCACCCTCTTGTTTCCATGTGCAAATTGTATGTATAAACAGATTTTATTTAAAGGTTTCCTCTCTGAGTGAGTTTCTCCTCACGCACACGAGCACTACCCATAAAAGCACAGCAATGGAATACAAAAATTGCAAGAATAACGTCTGTCATATGCAGGGATTGACCTTTCCAAATGGGAAGTCCCTCAGGCAGAGCAAGAAATCAGTCTCGATCTTGTCATTAATTAATTTTTTGTCTCTGTTTTTCGTCTGTTTCTTTCACTCGTGTGCCATTTGTTTGCTTCCATTTTATTTTTACTTTTGTTTTGCTCTCACTAATTTGTTAAATTCGTTTTGTAAATTGTTTCGTTTTAGCACCTTCGCCTTCATTTCTACGTCACTAGCCGTCTCCCCTCACTGTCTGTGTGGGGAGATCGATCCATCCCACATGCAACATGTGGCACGGCGCGTCTCTCCCTCTGGCATCCTCTACCTCTCTCTCTCTCTGTCACTCTCATTTTCTGGGTGTGTGCCGTGCTCCTGACCAACGCAATTGAAATTACCGAAGGGCATGCAGCAATACGAGTATCAACAATTATTTGACACTTTTTGTTCTTGGTTATTTTTCGCTTTGTCATAGGAAAACAGTAAACCGGGAGCTAGAGTGATATCAATGAAGGGGATTCTCTTCAATGGGAGCAACGGAACGTAGCGCGAGTCGCTTGATGATTCACTTTTGAATGGGGGAAACCCTGGCTTAAAACATAAACTAAAACGATAAACCATAAGCTGAAGCGGAACCTCTGCTCAAAGAATCTCTTCTAAAGATACTTTTAATGCAGTTCTTCAACTGCTGAAACATATCTGACGATGCTGGCAACCCTAGGCAAACAAAACAAAGAAACAACAACAAAAACAAACAACAAATCGAATGCGGAAGGAAGCAGCAGTGCAGGGAAATTGTAAAAAGCTAAAACATGGGTAAAGCGCAAGCGAGAGTATTATTCGTATGAGTAGAACCCAAGAGAATTGAAAACAACAATTGCTGCAATGCCTTCTGCTGTTTCTCTCTCTCTCTCTCTTTTCTCAGGGTCAAATAGATATCATATGTAGAAACATTCTACAGGCTAGACGGGCAGACAGACATACTCACATATTTAGATACAGTATCGAAAACGAAATCGACAAATGGGCAAATGGGAAATCAAACAATTTGCTGTGTTGCAGTGCCGGGAAAATTGTTACATTCGGAATGCATAGCGTCTGTCTCGAGGCACTTGCTTGATCGTTGTTGCATAGGAAAAATAATGCAAGATAACGTCTACACAGATTACGTATACGCCGCTCATAAAACGGTAGTCGCTCACAACAATTTGCGACGTAATAAATTTTGTTTTGGCCATGGCACCCCGCCCTGCTTCAGCCGAATAACCCAAAAGGGGCTGCGGTGTGTGTAGGCTGTAATTTCTACAAAATGTATAGAATACTCATAGGAGTGTATAGTATTTCCTTTGCACATGTGAATGTGGGGGCGGGGGCGTGCGACACAAATACAATTTAAAAATGAATTAATAATTTGATAATTGATTGAGAATCGATCGATTGTACTATGATTACATATGAGTTGAGGCTAGACGAAGGTTATCCCTTGGATATGGCATGAGCAAAAATACTGGCCCCGTTCTTAGTTTCTTAGTTCCAGATGAGACGCACAAGCGAATTATGTCGAGGAGAATAGCTCTGAATGGACTCGGACTTGACACTCACTGAAAGGCGTTTTTGTTTTTTCAGTGCTACTTTTCTTGTTCGAAACTTTCACCAAAAGTTCACTATAATTTTGATCACCGATTTCATTTGATAACTGCCTGCAATTTCCGTGTTGCCAATACATGTGAGCTTTGATTGTAGGATACGAGTATGTATTTGGTAACGTTATGCGAATGATATTTTGTTATTGAAACAAATGGGCAATTTTAATAATGGCGCCATCGCCAATTATTACCTCTTTGCCCCTTTCCCCCTGTAACTGAAATGACACGAACACGTGCTTGTCAATTCTTTAATGATTTTTCTGTGCTTTTTTGCCTATTCTTATGGCTCACTGTGTGGCATGCACTTGTGCAAATGAATGCATATACGTAAATATATATTTATTTTGTTGTTGGAGTGTAGTTTCGTTTATTAATTTGAGTCAGCCACTGTTTAATTAGCAAAACCGTCTGTCGACTGCCACATATCGTCTGACATCTGCGTTTTCAATTGCGTAAACTGAATGTGCAAACAAATTGCAAACAAACAAATACAAGAAAAGTGTGACGGGGGAGGAAGTTTAGTGCGGAGATGACATCCAAAGGAGCAGAATCCCCAGCACTGAATGACGCACAACAAAACAAAACAGAACAGAACAGAACAGATCTCTTCTGTGAGATTGTTGGAACACTTGCCTGGGAGGGCTCTGTGTTACACGACGGTTAATGGCAAATCTTCTCATGTGACACATCTGTGTCTCGCTGCCAGCTGTTATGGGCATAGTTTTCTCTTTATTGTTAATATTCAGTTGAAAAACACTCGGAAGTTTTTATTCTGTCATCAAAAACACAGCACATCTCCACTCTATAAAGTACGTGGTTTTTCGATCCAAATGGATCAGTGTATCAGGCGATTGTAAGCCAAGTGGAAGGAGTTACCAATGCCGACTTAAGACACTGTTCTCTCTGTTTTAATCGTTATCATTTATAGTTCAATAAGGTTTATGGCTTCAGTTCTCTGTTTCCGAAACGTAAAAGAAAACAATTAAACAATCAACTTGATGCCAGTGCAAATGCCACAAAACAATTAACAGAATAACAACGAAAAAATGTGACTTGTCACATTTGTTTGCTTAAATTGCATTTCCTCGCGACGACATTCAATTAGTAAAGCCGCCTGCAGGCAGGCCTAATGCCGGATTGGGTTATCTTGACACATGAAATATGTTCGAGAATGTTTTAAAAAATATTTAAGTACACGATCACCTGTAAATGACGTTCCCTAATTGTCTGGAGCTGCCTGTTGTGGCAGATTCTCTTCTCCCTTTCTTCGGAAACAAGATCTCTTAGTCATGATCATGATGAGTGTGCTTTAAATTTAAATTTATTTGAGCACCGATAAGGAATTGAGTCTTGAACAGTTCTGAATTCCAGCTAGATCTCTATTAAGACATCCCATGATAGATAACAGAGTAACTGCAAATGCATCCCATTCATCTAATAAAATCATGGGCACTCCACATGGGGGAACTCAACCATCTAACTGAATATAAATGAGCGACAAATTGGAGCTGGAGTTTCACAACAAGAGAGAGAGAGAGAGAGAGAGGAGTGTCTGCTCTGCTGGTGGTTGACTTTATTGCGCTGTGACAATGAGGCGGGGGGGGGGATTAGAGACCGCCGCTGGCTTTGTCTCAACGAAGGTTGACTTAAGGCAAGGCCAAAGAATAATAACTGAAGGTGGTATGCATGAGTACTCCATACATTATCTACATACATATGTATGTCGTGATATCTACTATTAGCTAACCTTTGGGGCCCAGTCATCGTGCGATAATAATTGCAAATGTCACAAAAATCACACATAACGAGAAGGGTCGTGTGAGACGCTTCTTACGCGTCAAAACTTTTATACCCGGCACTCAGTACTTTATTAGCGGTTATTTGTCAAATTTTACATTTTTTCTTCATCTGTCATCTACAACAGGCATTTTTAGTTTTCTTTTATCTTCAAAATTGAAGCTTTTGCAGGTTTTCGCCCTTTTGCGGAGGCGGGGCGGGGCTCATTTTTGAAATACACTTGTAACAGTGTGAGCATACAGCAGTCTGGATGCAAAATTTGGTGGCTCTAGCTCTTACAGTCTCTGAGAACTAGCCGACAAACAAGACGGACGGACAGACAGACATGGCTCTATCGACTCGGCGATTAAGGCTGATCAATAATACATAACGTTTCCTTCTGTGCGTTACATACAACCGTTATTCGCACAAATACAATATACCCTATTTACTCTTCGAGTACCGGGTATAAAAGGCTTTTGATTGTTTTTCGTATACATAGAAGTAAATAATTGATCGTGAGAGGCATGCGTGAGAGAGAGATACAGCGAGAGATACAGCGAGAGAGAGCGTGAGTGAGTCATTTGAATAGTTCGAGTGGGAATTTTCTGCATTATCATGCTGATATATCAGGAAAGCAAATGTGATATGGATGATATGACACTTTTGTTGTTGCTTTGCCCACTCCCTCTCTTCCGCTCATTCGTTAGCTCTTTGCTTCATACCAGTTGCTTCCAAATCCTGCTGTGACGTTACCGAAGTTTTGCATTCAGTGGTGAAATAGTTGCAGGCAACTTCTCGATCAATTTACCGTTTACCTTAATGAAAGCAAATACCCACCGCACAACCAATTCCATTCCACTTCATTGCAACGTAGAAATATACAAAGAGAGAGAGAGAGAGAGGAGAGAGAGAGAGCGAACGAAAGGATGGGGAATACCGGCTGAGTGGCAGCAATATGTGACGTCACAGCAGCGCCATGTGAAATTAAATGAGTGAAAACTAACATGTATGCTTGAGTGTATACAAATGCCATGATGACTCGGCAGATCGGGCAAGTGGTATCTAGTGATTAGCCCCCTCCGCCCCTTTCTTGGGGTGGTCTTGTGCTATTTTTGACTGGTCACGGCATGCGCCAGAACCTTCCAAAATGGAAAGCATTGGGAAATAATGTGTGATGGAGAGCAGCCAGAAGCACTGTTTAAATTCCATGCATATAGTATGTACACTTGTGTGTATGGTGTGTGCGTGTGAAGCGGGCCAAATCGAATGTCAAGGTTAAATGCCACACGGACACAAGCAGAAAAGCAACAAAAAATCGAATTGCCGTGTAATTAGAGCCACAGAAATATAGAAAATCAATAAAATAGCCCTTGTCTCGGATTTCTAATTACGCATTTACCCCAACACACACACACCCACAAGAAGCACACACAAGTAACAAACAACTTTGCCACCAAAAAACAATTATCTAGCCCCAGGCCCCGGCTCCGACTTCGGGCCAAGGCCATGCCCCTCTCTGCCAGCGAACCAAACAAAAATCCAACCAAATCATTATAAAACTTGGCGTCCAGTCAATGGTTCCACCAAACCACACACACACACACAATTATTTTTATTGAACACATGAAAGACGAGCACTAGCCGAATAGTTTTATACCCTTACAGAACCATAGTTACCTATTTTTAGGTTTGGCCTATCTTTAGAGAAAAAAAAACCGATCGTATGACAACTTTTAATAGGCGATACGATACTTGGCACCAGCTCGTCATAGCTGCACGTAGCGACAATAAAGATCTTTCATTAGCCTTTCCACTTAAAAGCGTATTACCCCACTCTGATATTAGCATAGAGTATGTGACAATAACGGCAACACTGCACTTACCGGCAAAATGCGATGTGGAAAAGGTGTATGTAACAAAACACACTGACGCGTGCGCTCCTATAGGAAATAAGTCCAACGATTTGCTGGTGGCCTCTCGGTGTCTCTCAGCTGTTGCTCCGGGCGACGTCGACGCTGACTGGCGTCAAATCGGAAAAACTAGCGGCACAAACAAAAATGACCTCGTTCTGTTGCTGCTGCTGCTGCTAATTTGTTGTTGCAGTTGTCGGGGATTGTGTAACGGCCACCCCCCAAATAGTATGGTCAGCAATTTACCGAATTTCCCGCTGTTTTTCTTTTGTTTGGTATGTTTGGGGTTTGCTTTGGTTTCGCTTTTGTTGCAGTTCACAATTTGTTAATTATGAACTTATGTATGGGTGTACATATGTATTATGGCAGGTGTTGTGTGGTCTTGTCAAAACGCATCTACCAATCTTTAAATATATGTATATTTTCACAAATTATTAAAAAAATTGTATTAACATGAAAATAAATAAATGAACAGGTCGCGTGATTTTTTCGTGTTTTTTTTTGTTGTTGTGGGTGAAGGTGATACACTCTCCGCTCCACGAGAACCTCCCGTTACAGGTTACAGCTGCGACTGCGACGTCAGCTGCTTGTTCGTGTTGTAAACAGATATGCAGTTTCCCACACAAAAATGTTGTTAATAATAGAATGCAGATTCTACCGGAACCACCACAGGAGCGGCGGCGGCGGAGACTGATGCAAAACGTGCTCTGTCACAGTTCCCCCCTCCCACTGTTAAGCGGGTGGTATGGCGGTGCGGGAAAGAACAGTAGAAGTGCCTCTATTTTTTGTAATTGGAAGACACAGTGCGGAGCGGTGAGCAAGTGGCGATGGCGTGAGTGTGATTGTGATTGTATGGGTGGAAGAGTGTGGGTGAGGTAGGGTGTGTGGGGAGGGCCGTATGTGCCAAATGCTTACGGCCGCAAAAGTATTTCACAATAAATCCACTCAAATGCACACTGTTTACTGGCTCTTTTACACGATTTACGACCGCCGGATTTGTGTGTAATTACGTTTGATGTAATAATTGTTCTCGATAGGACTGCTGCTGGCAGCGTTAGGACCGCAACGAGATATTAACACAAACGAATTCCAAAAACAATAAAACGCTCTACTTTAACTGCGCGGCTATTTATGTAAAAAAAGTTGTACATGTTGTCCTCACCATGAAGCAACTATAAGGAGGTCTCGTCGGTGGCAGAGTTAGTCATTGCTTCTGCTTATTTTCAGTGCTCGTTTGCTTGTCGACGCGGAAGGTTGGTTGCGGACAAAATTGTTTTTCAAATTTTTTCAAAATTCAATTATGAAACAATTATTATGTTTTTTCACATTGCCTTCAAATGGTTAATCAGCACACTCCTTTGGCGTTGCCATCACACTTGCAGCGTGAGCCCTTTCACTCGCACATTTCACGTACAGCTTATTTTTGCCGACGAGACCTCCTTATATAGTTCCTTCATGGTCGTCACGTTGTGCCCCTGCAACCATTGGCAACCCTATCAGCCCCACTGCTCTGTCCATGGCCTGGCAACACTGCTCTCCATATGTTTTCGCGCGGCAAGTGTTGGAAAACACCCCGCCCACACTGTTAGTTTATGGCCAATAAATCCATTTGAAACAAACAAATTTCAATGAAGTATACATGGCCAGAAAGTATTTTAAAAGTCTAAACCTGCAAGTACAGGACTGCCTTCGCAGTGAGAATGGTAATCACATTTCTGGCTGTGGAGAGGCCCAGTATTTCCCCCATCTCGTCGCTGATGGAGACCATATGATGTTTCCCAATAACCACCTGTGGCCCGTTTCGGTTGCGCAGCCCTCCTGCGGAGTCGTAGCGCGATTTGTAGATAAGCACGTATCGTACGCCCTCGCAGATCACAGCATAGTCCAGGTCGGGGCAACAGTCCGTAAACTTTCGCATCTCCTTGGAAGCCTGCACATACCCGAAGGCGTGCAGATTTCCCTCATGGCGCACCGTCCACTCGCCCGGCTTGGTCGGCTGGAACACCGGCAGCCACAACGAGGCATCTACGCCGTGCCTTGTGGCAAAGGCGGCCGGAAAACCGGCACGCAGTGACGTTGTAAAGAGTGGAGGCGTCGGTCCCAAGAAAACTGTGTGGGTTATGTCCATGGCTTCCAAATTGAAGCGCACTGAGAGGGGAGTGACAGGGATTAGCATAGTCCGTAGCAATGGAAAATCGACCCTAGGACTCACCCATCTTAACGTCTTCATCGGGAAGCCCCAAGTCACACTCCTCGATGGGATCCTCCAGATTAAGTATCGGCAGCGCGCGCTCCGGCAATGGGAACGCATCCACATCGCCCTCTGGTGGTGCGGCCTGCACGTCTGAGAGCAGATGTGGCCAGCTCTGCTGCTGCTCCTTGAACAGCGTCAGCTCCAGGCACTCAGCCTTAACCGTCCAGGTGGTCAATTCACTGTCCACGCTGGCATAGAGTGCTCCAGTCAAGAGAATCTCCCCCAGGCACTCGACCTCCAGTTGGCTGTTGGTGCTGCGAATGTCGAAGTCGTTACGGGTCAGCCCCGAAGGCAGACGAAAGCGGATCAGCACATCCTCGAATGTCTGCGTCCAGGTGTATGGTGGGGCAGCCGCCACTGCCACATCTACGACATTTTGGGGCTGCTCTGCAGCGGATAGTGCGGCTTCCCGTTGAGTTTTTGTCAGCAGCTCGCGAATTATGGAGAAGACCACGGACTCGGCACGCGGCTCAAAGGCACAATAGTAGATGGATCCAGTCGTATCCAGCTCCTCGCGCACACTGTATGACCACGCGTCGCTCGGTGTGAGCGCCTGTGTCCAGCAGCCCCAAGTCAGGTCTATGTAGAAGGTGTCGGCACGATCAGAACGTGTCGACACCCGACGTCCCACGTGGCCGGCCATCAGTGAAATTTGTTTGCGCTCCTGGACAACGTCCAGGCGAGCATCGTACAGCACAAAGCCGCGATTGCAGCTCTCCGGATTAATCTGCGTACTGGTGAGCAGCTTCCAAACGGCTGTGGAGCTGGCACGCGAACGATCGCCGGTGTCGAGGAGATAGTACGTGGAGATGCCATCGCAGAGCACGCAGTACTTTTCAGAGACGAAGCGCAGCGTGTAATTGTAGGCGCCGACCGACTGCCGGTAGCCATCGCCACGATCCTGCTCCTCTACGGTGTGGACCACGCGCTGCTGGCGCGGACGCCCTTCCTGGGCATCGTAGGAGCACAGGACAACCTGCCGGCTCTTATTTATGTAGTAGCAGTTCTCGCGCAGCCAGGGATCGGGACAGAGTATGTTGTGCCTGCCGAAGGCCTCTGCGTGCAGCAGTGAGTACTGATCGCCGTTCGGCACCATCTTGAGCGGTGGCGTTGAGACCAGCTCCTGCTGGATAACCGGCACCGGGTCGAACGAGAGCTTGTAGCCATCGAAGTTGCGGCAGATCAGGCTCCGATCCACTTTTAGATCCACCACCGGCATGTTTAGAACGGAATCAATGCACTCTGATCAAAAGATTGTTGCCAAAAATGTTAAATTCGGAAATAAACAATATAAACACACCATCAAGCATACCGGCAGACCCCTAGAAATATACCGAAATATACCCTTGCACTTTCAACATATACTGTAAATATACCATAAACTAAAATAATTTTCCACGATTTTATGTCCTATTTAATATTACCAGCTTGCAAAGACTTTTAACACTGAAACAATAGGTTAATCCGTTTGCAGAATCAAATTTAAGTATTTTAAATACTAACTTGTATTGGATTGTTCATTCAATCATTCATGTCACCCCTTCTGGAAGCAAGGTAGCTTTTTCTTCAGTACGTAAATATGTGTAAATGAGAGACACATGTATATTAGCTGATGTCATTTAAAATTTTTGAAAAATACCGCGCGCAACAAAAGAGGAAAATAATTTCTATTGTTTTCCTTAAAATTGCACCAAGGGAACATAAGTAAATATTATAATAAGCTCGGAGTCGTTTGGGGGGCAGTTCTTCTTTACAACATAATTGAGCCTATACTCAATTACATTGTAATTATTCCTTTCTTTTGCTAAGGAATACCTGATAACGATGATAAAAATCATCAAAATATACCGTATCTCGAAAAAGGACGATACATATGCCTATCGATACAAATACAATCGACTGCAACTCTGCACACGCGTTTTGTGTGAATAGTTGGCGCGCTGTGAACAAAAAGAAGCAGCAGCTTAAATTTTGTTTACGAAAAAATGAACAACGTTAGCTCTGCTTTTTTGCTTTCATCTCACAGTGAAACAAACAACGATATTTGACACAAGTAGGAAATCATTCATTATATACAGAGATCGGTAAAAGACAAAACATTAAACCCCCACCGTTCGTCATGTATCAGAACCAATTTATTTTCTCGCGTTCACGCCGCCTGTTTGGGCGCCAATGTCGGTTCCAGGATCGCAACGAGCTAATGGTCAGCGTCCATCCGAGTGGACGGCAGCGCCTGAACTACATTCTGCGGGATCCGGCAATGCGTGTCACACAGCTCAGCGAGCAGATGGCCCTGAGCATCGTGGAGACGGAGAATGTGACACACGAGCAGCACGGGATGTACCACTACGAGGGCGGCTGGCCCCGCGACTTGAACATCCACGACGAGGAGCAGACGGTGCGCCACCGCAAGAAGGTGGAGCGCGACGACAGCTGGGGCGTTCAGGTGACCGACATGATACGCGCCATGATGCAAGTGGCCGAGCAGAACAATGCCATCAACATTTTCCAGGACTTCTTCGGCGACTTGCAGCCCGAACTGGGCCAGCACCTGGCCCAGAGCTTTGTGGCGCGCGTCGTGAACGCGTTCCACGATCTGTGGCTGCCGCCGCGCCAAATGAACGTCGTCGACTGGATGCCCAACAATGAGAAGCAATTAATGACGCAGTTCTCGAATCATTATCGCATGCGTGCCACGGGCCAGAAGCTGGTGCCGAGCGATGGCATGGCGTGGAATGGCGGCGACAACGGCTTCTACGTGTGGGAGGTGAACAATCCGCTGAAGCCGCTGCTCTACTACGACTGCAACGAGGTCGTTTCGCGCGCCAAGATCTGCCCCAAGGACGAGAACAATCTGGCTGGGGGCACGTGGTCCGGCAAGGTGTGCACCTGGAACACCTTCGAGAGCGGCCTGCCGCTGCGCATGTGTCCGCTGGAGACGGCACATCGCGAGAACACCAAAGCCCTCTGCTGGGTGCACTCCAAGTCCAACACGGAGTTCTACACGGGCTCCCTGGACGGCTCCATCAAGCACTGGGACACGCGCGATCTGATGATGCCGGTGCACGAGCTGCTGCTGGAGCCGATGCCGCAGGAGCGCCAGGATCGACACAATGCCCATGGGGTGATGGTGCTCGAGTTCGAGTACACCATACCCGTGCGCTTCATCATTGGCAGCGACATGGGCTGCGTCTTTGTGGGCAATCGCAAGGGCATGACGCCCCAGGAGACGCTCCTGGCCCACTATCAGCTCTTCGCCGGCCCCCTGCGCAGCATCCACCGCAATCCCTTCTTCGTGAAGAACTTCCTGGCCACGGGCGACTGGCGGGCGCGCGTGTGGTCCGAGGAGGCCAAGGACGGGCCCAGCACCATGTACATCCGCAAGAAGACCCAAATCGTGTGCGGCGCCTGGAGCACCGGCCGCTGCTCCGTCTTCGTCACCGGCGACAAGGCGGGCATCGTGGACTTTTGGGATCTGCTGCTGCACCAGCGGCAGCCCGTATACAGCATCAACTTTGGTTCGGCCATCAGGGATGTGGTCTTCCGCCCGGAGGGCTCCCTGCTGGCCATTGCCCTGGCCAATGGCGACACACAGATCCTCCTGCTGGACCATGCCCTGAGATCGGCCAACAGCAAGGAGAAGGCCCTCATGGCAGCCGTAAGTTTTGCCCTCTTTCAATCTTCCCGATGCCAAATTGTTATCCCGCGCAGATGTTTGAGCGTGAGATTTTGCGCAGCAAACTGCTGGAGGCACGCGTCGAGGAAATGAAACTGAAGCGTCGCACCCAGCTGCTGGCCGAGCAGGAGCGTGCCCTCAATGGTGGCAATGAGAGCGATGTTGAGCTAGAGCTGGATCCCGATAATCCCGACGACTTTCTGCAGCTCATCAACGACGACGAGCAGTTCCGCGCGGCCATTGCCGACTTCCAGGAGCTGCTGCTCAATGTGGAGCGCAAGCGTTCCAAGCGTACAATCATCATGGAGCGCACCGTCTTCGAGGAGTGGTACCAGCAGGAGGAGGAGGAGAACCGTTATCGCCTAGCCTCTGTGGGCTCCCAAGATGCGGCCAACGTAGAGGCCAAGAAGGGCAAGAAGAAGGCCGCGCCTGCGGGCAAGTAGGCGGCAAAATTACATTTATGGCGACACTTTATTGAGGACCCACATAATTATCGATTAAGCTTTTAAGTAACAACCTGATTAGCAGCTAAATTGAGCATTTCTGCACTCACACTCTGCAAATGCGATTACACACAAAGCAGTTGAGGGAAAATTAATTATAAAGAGGAAAACAAAAAAAAAACTATTAAAGCTCTAAGACCTAAGGCGGAGAGAGTGAGCATGAAATTACCCACCACTCTCCCTCTCTCCCTCTCTTTCTCTCTATCTGCCTATCCCTTTCTAGCGCATGTGCGTGGTGAATAAGTGGTGGAGTGGTTCACCATGTGCTTGCCCGCCTAGTGCTTGTCCGTGTCGACGCCAGTGTCAATGAAATCATTGACCAATCGCATGGCCTTGCGTGGCACCAGGCGTCCGATCTTCTCCAGCGCCAGATAGCTGCGTGGAATGGCTGCCTCCTCGAGGCCCTCGCGCTGTGCCTGAATAATAGAGGCGGCGGCCACATCGGGCGAAATCAGCTGGAACAGGCTGGGGAAGCGGTACCGGGGATTCTTGCACAAGCCCGTGTCAATCATGTACGGATAAATGGTGGTCAGTTTTACCTGAAGAACAACAACAGTTAATCTCAAGCTGGAGTCAGACACCGGTGGCCGTTTGCCAACACTTACATTATTCTGTGGATTCTTCTGGCGCAGCTCCTCGGCAAGGGCGGCCATGTAGCCGCGCACCGCGAACTTTGTGCCGCAATAGGGCACCAGATTGATGAGGCCAAAGAGTCCCGCACAGGAGGAGAGAGCCACAATGCTGCCCTCGTTGCGCTCAATCATGTCGGGCAGAAAGCTTTGAATCATCTAAAGTGAAAGAGAGAGGGAGTGGGGGAGAATGACCATCAGCCATCAATCTAATCGCTCAAAAAACTTACCCAGAAATGTGAAATCACATTGATGTCATACATGAGACGAATCTCGTTCTCGGTGTGCTCCAGGAGTGGATGGCAGGGCATGATGCCGGCATTGTTCACCACCACGTGGATGAAGCCGTGCTCCTTGCGCACCTTCTGGGCCAGCTCAATCAGCTCCTCGCGCTTCGTCACATTGCACACATAGCCGAAGGCCTTGCCGCCCTTCTGCTTGATGTCCTTCACCGTCTGGTTGTTCGTCTGCTCGTTCACGTCCCAGCAGATGACGGTGGCCCCCAGAGCGGCGTACTGCAGTGCCATTTGCTTGCCCATGCCATGGCCAGCGCCGGTGATCAGCACGAATTTACCGCTAACATTCTCCTGCAGCTTTGTCTGGAAGAGCCCAACTATCGACTCGACTATCGCCAGCCAGAACTTGACGAGCAGCAACACAATGTCCACCACTAGCAGCACAATGTTGTAAATGTCGCTGCTGTTCGTGGCGCTGGTACCGTTAGCATTGTTGCCAGCACTAAAAAAAGGAGTGCAGAGAAGAGAAGAGGAGAGTGAGAGAGTAGAGTGGAGAGATCAGTGGATCGGTGGAATATGTTCAGGGTGCCAGTGGCAGTGGCAGTGCCAGTGCGTGCCGTCTGCTAATTAAACCCTTGATCTTTGCATTACATCATAATTATTAAGTGGAAAGTCAACCCAAATGGAGTGGAGTGAAGTATAATCTAGGTGCTGGCTGGCATTAGCAGGCACTCGTTAGCTACTAAAATTTGAGTGTGGGGCAGCGACAAACAGCTGATGTACTGATACTCTTTCTTTTGCATTCTCTTCCTTACACTTCGAGTGCTTGCTGAGCCACCCACCCACATATTGTCAAAACTGTTGACTGATTGATCTGCAAGAGTATGTTTGGGTGCGGCGCCCCGACTCCCATTTGCTGCTCTCTCTCTCTGCTACCGGGTTCGTCTTTGGTCAGCACAGACCCCCGGTATCGTTCGGTGCTCGCATTACAATAACAATTACTGCCCTGCAGCTGCGTGGAGATCTCTTGATAATGCCGAAACTTTTTGTCAGATGTTTTTCTTTTGTTTCGTGTTTTTTTTTTCGCTACTTGTGACACATATTCATAGGCGAACAAAGATCAGCCAGCCAGCCACATGTGATATTTGTCTGAATGTACCCACGGGCATGGGACAGATGATCGTGCCATCAGTTGACCAACCCTGACCGTAGCTGCCCCACTGTCCCCCCTCCCA